GAGGGCCGGGTCTCAGGTAGGGGCAGGGTCCCAGGATGGGCAGGGTCTCAGGGATGGGCAGGGTCCCAGGGATGGGCAGGGTCTCAGGTAGGGGCAGGGTCTCAGGATGGGCAGGGTCCCAGGATGGGCAGGGTCTCAGGGATGGGCAGGGTCCCAGGATGGGCAGGGTCTCAGGGATGGGCAGTGTCCCAGGGATGGGCAGGGTCCCAGGGATGAGCAAGGTCCCAGGGATGGCAGCAGCTGCTCGGTGCTGGGCAGAGGCAGCACACACAGCCTGTGCAGGCTCGGGGCACACAGACACACCAATCCTGTCCTGATCTCTGCTCTCTGGGGTGGCTCCTGAGCAGCCGGTGTGGCCGCGAGTGCCATGTCCCCGTCCCAGGCTCAGCAGATTCGCTGCTTTGATAAACAGCGGCAGGGAATTACTGGGAATTACTGGGATGACCCCAGTGCTTGGGGCAGCGCTTTCCCACCCGCTCGGGTTACCGGGCTGCTGCTCGGTCGGCAGCGGCTTCAGAGGGCAGGGCTGGATTTCGGAGCTCTTGGGTACACTGTGCTCTTGCAAAGGGTTCAGGGACAGTCTGTGACGGTCTGGGCAGGCTGGCACATCCTTTTCCTGTCGGTGTGGGACACTGACCCCATGCCCAGCCAGCTCCCCAGTGCTGGGACAGACCCCGGCAGGAGCAGGCAGAGGTAAGGCAGGAGGTGACACCTCCTCCAGAGCTGCAGCGCGGCTCAGGGGGCTCTGATGGTGGTTTTGCAGTGGAGAAGATCCAGGCGATGTTCACGGTCCTGGGAGCCTTCGGGTCGGTGACCACCAGCCACAGCAGCAGCTCCACGCGCTTCTCCATGGTCCTGTCGCTGGATTTCAGTGCCACTGGCCAGGTCACTGCCGCTCACCTCCAGGTACCTGTCACCTGTGAGATGGCAGGGCTGGAAATGCTTGGGTGGGGATGAGCCACCCCTGTGCTGCCAGGCTGCGAATGAGGAGCGATGCTCGGCTCCCTGCTCTGCTCCCTGCTCCTCCTAAACCCAACCAGCCCCTGAGCAGAAGCTCTGCCAGCAGCATGGCAGGGTCCCCCAGCCTGTCCCCACGAGCTCGGAGCAGTGCCGGGATGAAATGGTGATGAGGAAATGTATAATTTAACATTTCATTAGTAGCACCTCACGGCCGCCTGGAGCTGAGCCTCAGAGGGCTTTTATCACCGTCAGGGCTCTTATCAAAGGCTCTTTAATCAGAGCTGCCCGTGCTCCTGGGCCTTGTCTGAGGAAGGAGAGGGCTGGAGCCTTGTCAGCTCCTGGGGAGCACCAGAGCTTCCCACTGCTGTCCCTGCTCTGCCCAGGGCACCCACGGGGAGCTGGTGGCCCTGTGCAGCTGTCCTTGTGCAGGAGTGGCACTGTCCCCATTAGTGCCACCAGAACCATCCTGGCATGTCCATGGGATGGGGACCCCCAGCTCTGCAGATTCACTGCTGGCTCCAGTGCTGAACACCTTTGGCAAGGTTGGAGCTGAGCTGGGCTCGTCTTGAGCCCAGGCAATGACTTATCCCAATCCTGCAGCATCTTTGCTGGGGCCATGGCACTGCCCAGACCTCTGAAAGCTCACAGGGACCGTGGGTGTTGCTTTCACACGCTGAAGTGCTGCCCCTTGATGCCTGGATCATGATTCAGCTCTTGCTTGCACAGCCCTGGGTGGGAGGAGCAGCCCCCAAACCCTGCAAGGAGAGATCCAGCCCCTCCTTGGCAGCTCCCAGGAGCATCTCCCCATCTCCCTGACCCCTTTTCCCTCCCCAGACATTGCTGCTGGAGAGGGCCCGTGTTGCCCAGCAGCCTGAAGGAGAGAGCAGCTTCAACATCTTCCCACTGCTGCTGGCAGGGCTGGATGTGGCAGAGAGGTGGGTGTGAGGATTCCCCATCCTTTATACCCAAATTCCCTCCAGCAATGGGGTTTTGAGACCTCCTGATAGAGACACCCCAAGAGATTGTGAGAGTAATTGCATTAATGGGGCTGCAGAGATCTTTCTGCACATACAGAGATTTTCTATGAAGTGAGGCCATTTCCTGGTTTTTGCCCCTCCACTAAAGCTGAAATTGGGGTGATAAATGAGACAGAGATCCCTTTCCCTGTCACTTCTGGTTCTCCCCAGGCTGTGTCCCCAGGAGAAGGCTCCTGGGGCAGCAGCTCATGTCCCTGTGTGGGGCAGTGCTGTGGTGGCCTGTCCCTTCCAGGTCCCTCAGGTGGTGCTGTGAAGGTGGCTGGGGGTGCTGAGGGCAGGCAAGGAGGGAGCCTGACTCTCGTTTTTTGTGACTACTCCCAGGACGATGCTGCACCTGCACCAGGTGGCTGAGAGCAATTCCTTTGGGATCAAACCTTTCACAAAGGTAGGGAGAGGGAAATGCTGGAGTCTCGTGCCCACTGAGGATGGCTTGGAGTCCCTGGTTGCTGGGTGACTCGTGATGATGCCACTGTACTGGGAGCCTGGAGGGGAGGAAGGGAATATTGGGATGTGAAGAAGGATCTGCCCAAACAGCACCCCCAGCACCCCTCTGACAGCCACAGGGGAGCTGCACAGGGGCTGCCCTGCCTGGGATGTCTGCTTGGGTTTCACACATGCCACAGGCACCTTGGGACCAGATCCTGCCGCTCCAGCATCACCTACCCCTGATGTTCCCCTGCAGCAGCAACTCCCAGCAGCAAGAACATCCTTTGGGTAGCCCAGAATGTGAATTTTAGGGGTTAAAGCTCCACAGCTGATTCCCACCTCCAGCCCCTCATTAGTCTGAGCTGTCTGCAGAGCCCCAGCAGATTGTCCACGAGCCAAAGCCCTGGGATGAATTGCAGCAATTTGCAGTTACATCATTTATTGATGAATCCAATATTCCATCTTCATTAGGAAGCTCCTGCTCCACTTCAGCATCCAAAGGAATTGGCTGCTGGAGCAGCAGCTCCAGGGAGGGCACAGAGAGGTCCTCACCTTGCTGGTGCAGCAAACCTGGGTTCAGAGATGGGGTTTTACCCTCCTGTCAGAGCTCTGATTTCTGGGGCTTTGCCATCCCAGCATGGAGGTTTTTCCCTGGTCCCTGCTGAGGTGGGGTGCTGCCTGCTGGAGCTGGCTGCTGGCTCCACAGAGCAGCCCCAGCTCAGGGACTGCAGGAGGGGGTGTCCGTGGTGGGAGGTGGCAGGTGAGGTCCTGCTGGTGGCCAGGAGCTGCTCAGCTCTGGGCAGGTGTGTTTGGTGAGGAGTGAGGGGACAGGGCTGGATGGGCAACCTGGGCTGTGGAAGGTGTCCCTGCCACGGCAGGGGCTTGGAAGGACACGAGCTTTAAGGTCCCTTCCAACCCAAAGCACCTGATGATTCCATGATATAAAACATCCATCCCCAGCTGCTGCTCTGTAGACACTCATGAAGTGGGAATTGTATGACAAGGTGATGTACCCAGCTTGCTCCTAACACCGGGAACCTGCCAGTGGCTTCTCCACTTGGTCCCAATTTTCTGAGGGTGCCTTGCTGTGTTTCCTTGCTGTCCTGATGGTTTCACTCTCCTGTCGGGCACAGTGCCCAGCAGAGGCAGTGACATCCTCTGGCTCTGTCCCCCTGCAGCCCGAGGACAAGCAGAGAGCTGCGGTGGCCTTCTCCCAGCTCCGGGCTGCCATGGGCACGCTGGGCATCACCGCAGAGGAGCAGGCGGCCGTGTGGCGCATCCTGGCTGGAATCTACCACCTGGGAGCTGCTGGAGCCTGCAAAGGTGAGGGGAATCCTGCCTCTGCTCCTTGTCTCTGTGCTTGGAGCGGGGAGGAGCGTGTCCTGGCAGGGATCAGTGTTTGGGGGTGTGCAGGGATGATGCCCATCCCAAGGCTGCTCTGTTTGTGGTGGCTCCAAGTTCTTCCTTGCTCTTCCTCTGTGGTGGGATGTGGGATGTTGGTGTCCTGCTCCGTGGGGGCTTCTGGAGCAGGTCTGTCCTTGCCACATGTGGCTGGGTATGCTGGGTGTCACCTCATGCCAGCTCCTCATGAAGGACTGGGGTAGGTGACTCCTTTGTTGGCACGTTGTCCCCAGTGACACCATGAAGGGACAGCTTTGGGTAGCACTAATTTCATCATCTCTTGAGTGTCTACCACAGTAACTGAATTATAATAGGCTGAGTCTGGATGAAGATTGTATTTATAGAGACTTTGTTAATATGGACGAGCAGAAATTGCCTTATCCCTTACAAATGATTTTAGGACATGCTCTAACCCATTTTAGAGGCAGCCACATTGATTTACACACTTCAATTTGTGAGGGCTGCATAAAGGCTTCCATAAACTAAGCCACAGACATTTATAAATGTCTCTGCAACACGCCATAACACATCTTATGGTAATTTATGCCATTAATCATTCATTAATTATTTTAAAAGGATAGATGCTGTCAGGACTTACAGTGAGTTCTCTTTTCTCCTTCTTTCTGGTGTTCTCTTTCCTCGTCTCCATCTACCTTAATGCCCTTCCAGCTTTTATAGATGACCCTGTGCTCTCAGGCTGATGAGGGTCATACGGCTCTTGGCCAAAAAAATTTGAAAGTCCTTCTGCCCTGTGAGTTTCCAGCAGAGCAGATTTTGGAGACGTGTCTCAGTTTGGGAGTGCCCAGCTCAAGGGCAGGCGGAGGGATGGTCATGGGGAGTTTTGCTTTGCTCAGACTTCCTGCCCATTCTGCCCTGAGCCCTCTGTAAATCAGTCTGGGAGGGAATGGAATGCTGTATCCAACAAATCCTGCTCCATTCTTTGATCAGGAACGGGAGTAGCGGATCCAGGCAGGGCTGCAGCTCCGAGCACGCTCTGGTGTGGGATTAACAAGCAGAGCATGTCTCAGTGTCGCTCACTCTGGTATTGATTCCCCCACCGTGTGTCAACAAAAGGCGAGAAATGAAAGGAAATATGGATAAAAAATGGATCAAAGCCGGGTGGAGCCAAAGTCTCAGTGGGGGCGACGACCCTTTTAATGTGGTTAAACCTGTCTCCCGATAGCCATCTCTTCCCTTCCCCTTTCATGCCCTTTGATGTTGTGTATTCCAAATCCTCTCCTTGAAATCTCGCTGAAGGGAGCCTCGGCACTGCTTTTCCAGGGCATTCAGGAGCTCAGCCGGGCGCCTCCTCCATCCCCATCCACAGCCACAGCCCTGGCACGTGTAAAATGAGCCCCGGTGTGGGCTAAAGGCACCTTCCTCCTTTCTCTCCTCACCCATTCAGTTTGTGCAGGAATAAACCAGGAGGGAACAGCACCACCTCTCCCTGGCTGGGGGTGGAAAATGCATTTACAGCTATAAAAACGCTGAGAAGAAAAGGTTGAATTTCAAAAGCTCGTTCTGCTTTCTCCCGGTGTCAGCCCTTCCTGCTGCCTTTGAAACGTATTAGAGCAGCTCTTTTATTAGGAAAGCAGCCTGGCAGCTGGAGGCCAGCGGGGCACCCTGGGCACCATTCACCTGAGTGCTCCAGTCCCTTTGTGGGCTGCAGAAAATCCCCTGGTTTAATTTATTTGCTGCCCCTGTAAGCAGAAGGGAGGTTTGGGGCGCAGCGGGACTGGCGTGTGGCTCGCTCCCACGCTGTCCTTTTGCTGGCTGATATCAGAATAAAGCATTGTGGCTCCCAGCTCCCTCTGGCCTTCCCAGCACGCTCCTGTAATGGAGGTGGCTGCCATTCCAACCCTCCTGGTGCTGCCACAGATGTGTCAGGAGTCACTCCAAACCCCCTGGCACAGCGAGGCCGCTGCAAATACAGCCTGGTGAACTCCTTTGGATGGAGGAAAACCACAAGGCAGGAGGGCTGGAACCTGCTGCTCAGGTGGAGAACACTGAGCTGCCCCAAACCCCGAAGAGTTCAGGGGCAGCAGGAGGGACAGGAGCACCCAGACAGCTAGGGGGAAATTTTGGGGTCAGTGAGACCACCAGCAATAGCCCAGGGTGAGTGCTTGAGCTGCATGGGGGCTGCTGTGGTCCAGGGGGTCCTGCACAGACCCACCCCTGTGGCATCACCAGGAAATTGGGCACTGAGCAGTTTGGAAATGGGCTGGGGCTGCAGCAAGAGAGGCTGAGCTGCCCCTGTGAGTGCTGATCCAGTGTTTTCCTTCTGCTTCTCTTAAATATTACCTGGGTCGAAGTCATTCCCTTCAGGTGTTAAAGTCAGCGAATTTTCCATGGTCACATCACACTCAGGAGAGCCATGGGGAGCTGCTGCTGGTTATAGATTATGGAGGGTAAAATGGTGCCAGGGCTGAGTGGACCCTCTTGTTTGTCCCAGGGATGCTGGAGAGGGCAGTGTGGGATGCAGGAGAGGGCACTGTGGGATGCCAGACAGGTCTGTGCAGCCCTGGCCTTCCAGCCCCTCCAACTGCCTGGCAGGCAGAGCTTTTGTGTCTGACAAGAATCAGCCTCTGTCCAGCTAACTCAGATAGGAACAAGTGAAAACAGAATAAATCAAAGCCTAGAGTGTTGAGGCAATTCCTCTGCCTGCTCCAGCACAGCCCTTGATGTTGGAGTCCTTCAGTCAGCATAGAAAATACTGGGAAAGGATCAAAGGGGAAGGGAGAAGGGGGTTGACTCTCATCGGTGTGCTGTGAAGCACTCCCAGCCCTCCAGCCCTGCTTTGTGCATCCCCTCGGCCAGGAGTGGGTACCCCATGGAGCTTCTCAGGATGTGGCCTCCTCTCACTCTCCATCCCACACCCTCTCCCCTGCCACCAGCCACCAGCTGTGTTTTAAGGGCCCATTTTAGCTGCAAGCTCCTCATCTACCACCCAAAAGTGCCACCCTGAGGTGTCTGGGTGACTTTGGCTGCTCCCATTTGTGCTCACCCTCCATGTTTCTGAGCTGTGCCGACCTCCTGCCTCCAGGGCACCTTTCTGCTCTGGGTTTGTAAAAGGATTAATCCTGCAGATTACTCCCCTATTGATTTTAATCATTAAGCTGGAGTCGTTATCACCAGATAACCCAGTGAGCGATGTGTGCTGGTGGGGAGGAACTGCTGCTCCTGGCTGGAGGGACAGCAAACCCTGCTGGGACCCTGAAAGGTGATCCCGGATTTCGAGGGATTGCTTCCTAATCCCATCAGCTCCCACCAGCACATCTGCTGCTTTGCTCGGCTCAAGAGCCTGAAACACTGATGCTGTGTGGCTCGCCTGCTCCCCGGCTCGCCTTGGACCATTTTGATTTTGGGGGTGCGCGAGGGAGGGCGTGGGAGCGTTTTGGTGATGCTGAGGCAGGGCTGGCCCTGGCTGAGCCCCCCTGTGCCTCTCCCCAGTTGGCAGGAAGCAGTTCCTGAGGTTTGAGAGTGCCAGCCGTGCTGCCGAGGTGCTGGGCTGTGATGTGGAGGAGCTCAGCACCGCCGTCTTCAAGCACCACCTGAGGCACATCCTGGCACAGGTGACAGCCCGGGGCCAGCCCCAAGCAGAGGAGAGCCAGCCAGGTACCGGGATACCCCATTTTCTCTTTATTTCCAGAGGGAGAGGGAATGGTGAGGGAAACTGTCTTGTTCTTCTTAGGCTGTGAATCCCATTTAGGTGTGTTAATATTAATACAATCATTAACTGTGCTCTGTTGCGTCGCTGCCCTCTGCTCTCCTCGCTGCCCCTGCCTGACCCTCCTTAGGGACACGTGAAATCAGGTGAATTCAGATAAGTGATGTGGCTCAAGTGCTGTGAGAGCTCTGCCTGGAAAAATGGGGGAAATTCCCCAACTCCAGAATCAGAGCTGAGCTGGTCTTGTGCTCTGAGCACCTGCAAGGAGATCTGGATCAGGGATTGTGCTGCTGAGCCACCATAAACCTTAAATTATTGTAGGGATCTAATTTGTGGAGGCAGATCCAGCATGTGTGAGGTGGGAGGGTGAGATGTTGCCTGGATTTCAGGTCAACCCTCCCACACTCCTTAAAAGTTGGACTTGATGATCTTGGAGGTCTTTTCCAACCTTGATGATTCCACGATGCTCAGCAGTGGAATTCCAGCTAGGCCCTGTAAGTTATCTTTAAAATAACTAAAATAAACTTTAAAAAAATAATAAAATGGTAGAAGCAAGAGCTTGAGGAAGTGACCTTTGACATGGCAATAAACCCATGTGGGGCAGGAGAGGAGCTGAAGGCAGGAGAGAAGATGTGCAGGAGCGATGCTGTGGAGTCATGTGGGTTCTCCTGAGCCACAATCCAGGGAATCTTGGGTCCCACCTCAGCTCTGAGCAGGCTGAACTTGGCTGGAAATAACCACATTGCCTGTTCTTCCCTTCCCTGTGTCCTGCTCTCCCCTTCCCCGTGCCAGAGCCGAAGATGACGGGAGCGGAGTGCGTGCAGGGAATGGCCTCGGGACTCTACGAGGAGCTCTTTGCCGCCGTGGTCTCGCTCATCAACAGGTACCAAAGAGCTGCTGGGCACTGGGGCTGGGGGTGGCAGCCCCTTCTCCAGGGCATGGAGCAGGTGACAGATTCCTGCTGGGAAAACAGGGAGTTGTGTGACAAACTTTATGTGGGGACGGCACTGGCACTTGGCACGCTCGTGTCCCACGCCCCTGTGTCACGGGCACCGCGAGGGCCTGGCTGGCACTCTGCTGCCCGTGGGTAAATCCTGGTGGTGTGTGCGGCTCTCCCCAGGTCCTTCTCCTCTCAGCACCTCTCCATGGCCTCCATCGCCGTGGTGGACAGCCCTGGCTTCCAGAGCCCACGGCAGCAGCGGAGTGAGCGGGCGGCCACCTTCGAGGAGCTGTGCCACAACTACGTCCAGGAGAGGCTGCAGGGACTCTTCTACGAGAAAACCTTCCTGAGGGAGATGGAGAGGTACAGAGAGGTGAGGAGCAGGGGCTGGGAGCAGCTCCCAGCACCTGGGAGTGGGGCTGCCTTTGTCCCCAAGGGTCCCTGTGTCCTGCTCTGGTGTGAGTGAGTACCTCATGGGCTTTACTGGGAGGGCTGCAGCAGAACTGGGGGGGGGATCCTGCATGGACCTGCCTCTCTTGTCACCCCCTGCCTCAGTTCTGAATCCTCTTGGCTATTTCTGATGTGGCAGAGATGCTCTCTTGGCATCTCTGTGGAAGCTGCCATGGCAGGGGGGTTGGGATGAGATGATTTTAAGGTCCCTCCCAACCCAAACCATTCTGGAATTCTATTACATACTTGCTCCAGCTCAGGAGAATTTGTGCCTTTCTCTTGGCACAGCTGACTTTTTCCTCAGGTGATGAATAATAGCAAATAGAAAGGAAAATGATAAATTATTGCAGAAATAAGCTGCTGAGAAACCTACAGGCAGAGATGAACTTATTATAGGCTTGAAGGAGTTACCATAATGCCTCTAGCCTGGGGAAAATAGCTGAATTCCTAGGCTTTAACACACACATCATCGAGTAAGGATAGATGTGCCCTTCCCTAGTGATGAAGACTTCCAGATGCCATCCCATGACTGAAACAAACTTTTAAATGATGTTTTCCAGGAAAATGTTGAGGTGTCTTTTGATCTTCCAGAGCGCTCTCCACTGGCCACGCTGTCCATCATTGACCTGAGCTGCTCCCAGGTACCCTGTCCCCTCTGCATCCTGCTGCTCTGAGCAGTGAGGGCTCCAGAGGCAGAGTTGGACCTTATGGAGCATCCCAGAACAATCTGAGCTGTTACAGGGGTGGGGCACAGCATCCACCAGGACCTTTTTGGCTGTTTAAAATACAAGGGCCCTCCCTGATCAAGCTCTCCATCACACCTTCCAGCCTGGGGTGATGAGCTCCTCTGGGACACTGTCACTGCTGAGGGTGATGTGGGGAGGGTCTGCTCTGGGGTAGGGGGCACAGTTGGGCAGTGGGAGCAGGCTGGAGGGAGCAGAGCAGGCTGGCGTGGCTGTGGCTGGAGCCCTCGTGTCCCTCGGCAGCCGCAGGTGCTCCCGGGCAGCGCCGGGGCCGCTCGCCGGGGGCTGCTGTGGATCCTGGATGAGGAGGTGCTGATCCCAGGCTCCGGGGATGGCACTGCCTTCGAGCGCCTCTGCTCCTACTTCGCCACCAAGGGACCAGACCAGGAGGGTGAGTTGGGCTCGGCTTGGCTGCCCAGCCTCTGGCAGCAACATTTGGCTTTGGGAGTTTGGGAGATGCAGATGATTAAACCCCTCACTGGGCTTTTCTCTGGGCTGTTCCTGGGGTGCTGTCACCGCCACAGGGCACCTGCGCAGGTGTGAGCAGACGCTGCACTTCGAGATCTGCCACCAGCTGGGCACGGCCCCCGTGCGCTACGACCTCACGGGCTGGGTCAGCAAGGCCAAGTTCAACCTCTCGGCCCAGAATGCCATCCAGGTGCTGCAGAATTCCACAGTGTAAGTGCCACGAGGTGCCACAGTGCCGCAGGGGACCCCTGTGCCCGTGGGACGGGGTTGAGGATGGCCCAGCTCCAGAGACAGAGGCTGGTGTGGAGCATCCCTTGTATGAACAAGGGGGAATGGTTTCCCACTGCTAGAGGACAGTGTTAGGTGGGATTCTGGGGAGAATTTCCTGGCTGTGAGGATGGTGAGGCCCTGGCACGGAGAAGCTGTGGCTGTCCCGTGCCTGGAATTGTCCAAGGCCAGGTCAGACAGGGCTTGGAGCAGCCTGGGCTGGTGGAAGGTGTCCAAGGCCAGGTCAGACAGGGCTTGGAGCAGCCTGGGCTGGTGGAAGGTGTCCCTGCCCGTGGGGGTCCAGCACAGGTCAGAGCTGTGAGGCTTCACCAGCAGCTGCCCAGGTTTTCCCACTGCTTTGAGCAGCCTTGCAAACTAAATTGGAACTGAAAGGGAACTGAAGTGCTGCAGGTGTCTGTGCACACAGGGGGATTTTAACCTTCTGCTTGCATACTCCTGGCTCATTTGGTTTGGGCTTCAACCTAGCGAAGCTTTAACAGCAGCGACCAGCTCCATGCTTAGACCAGAGAGGATGGAGTGGGTGGGGGGGGTCCCAGCATCCCGCTCCACTCCACAGAGCGGCACCAGTTTGGAATCTGGGGCTCTGGGTGTGAAGCTGGGAAGCTGAGCGGGCCCTGTGTGTGTGTGTGTGTGTGTGTGTCTCTGTGTGTGTGTGTGTGTGTGTGTGTGTCTCTGTGTGTGTGTGTGGGTGTGGGTGTGTGGGTGTGTGTGTGGGTGTATGTGTGTGGGTGTGTGTGTGTGTGTGTGTGTGTGT